ATGTTGACACGATGTCGACGAGATATCGTCCAACTTTGCAACTTCGACAATGTAAACTATGTGAAAATGAAAACCGAATCCAGCTTTGAAACAATATCTTCTCGATATCGTTCAACATTGCGATGTCGACGAAATACTAGTAAACAAGAATACGGAATGCAACATTGTAAGGATATCGACTCGATATCGTCAAAAAGTTCGATGTCGACGATGTTAATGATGTAAACAAGAAAATAGAGTACAGTGTATCACGGATGGACGAACAGACAGACACTGGGTAAAGAGATCATCAATTGTCGCTATGCTCTTCAGGTGACACAAAAAGTAAAAACACTGATGCAGTATTCATATTAATTATAGAATTCTTATTTACAGGTATGAAAAACAAATGACCATCTAAAGTGCGAAAATGGCGACCAGTACGATCCGGGCCCAGGAGATTCTCCTCTGTCACATCTGTGATAAGAGCCCCACTAAGCTTCACTGTAATCCCTGCCAAACAGATTTATGTGAAAATTGTGTGGGAAAACACACCATGATGTCATCATCTGCCGCTCATGAAATCATCAAGTACCAAGACTGAAACTTCCAGCTTCTTTATCCAAATTGCAAAGCTCACAATGATGAAAAATGTTCTTTCAAATGTCAAAACTGTGATAAAGAAATATGTATCAAATGCCTTACTGGCAAACATAATGGTCATAAAGTCTTTGAAATAAGTGTTACAGTTGATGAAAAGAAACGTCTTGTTGAAGAAAACACATCTTATCTTCAAGATGTCATTCCAAAATTCAAGGAAGTGGACGAAGAAATTGAAGGCAAAATGGTGGCCTTCAACACCAGATGTGATGAATTAGAGGAATTGGTATTAAAGCATGGAATAGAATGGCATTGCGTCATTAACAATGTCATGATTAAAAAGAAAAAAGAAATTGCCAGAATAAGAGAAGACGGAACAAATGAGCTAAGAAAATACAAAATGGAAATGAGGGATGTTTTCGTAGATGTGCAAGACACCATCCAGCGAAACAAAGAAATTGTCAAATCTGTAGATGTCATTGAAATCTGCCGTTATCATCTGGTGTCTGATAAATACCAGAATATTCCACTGCACTTTCAATTAAAGCTTCCAACTTTTGTTTTCAAAGAAATTGAATCAGATCAACTGAACCGAGCGTTTGGGGTATTAAAGCGATTTCATGTTCAACGAGGAATGGTTGATCGGCCTTCTGATACACCTTTATCGCGTATTCAAATGTTTCTAAGAAAAGCTTTAAAAATTAGAGAATTTTCTACCGGAAAAACACCACTGAGGCAAGTGGTTTGTGTTGGTTCAGAAGAGGCGTGGATAAGCGGATATGATGAAACCATTTCACGTGTTAACATACAAGGCTCTGTACTAGATGAAGTCATCACCACTTGCAATGATTTCCCAAGTGACATTACAGTGTCAAAAAGACGTCTGATTTACACCGATACAGCAAATAAAGTAGTTAATATAGTGGAGGAGGGAGAGTCTATCACATTGATCCGGGCACCACGGGGATGGGAGCCTCTAGGGGTGTCTTACACAAAATCAGGTGATTTACTCGTTAGCATGAGAACAACTGACCAGACACTCTGCAAAATTGTTCGCTACAAGGATAAGATGATAACTCAAGAAATAGAAAAGGACGACAAAGGAAATCCTTTATATAGAGGAGGATCGAAAATGCTTTTCGTGGCTGAGGACGATAACGGAGACATATGTGCCTCGGATTGCAATGCAAATGCTTTCATCGTTGTCAACAGTGCTGGAAAACTTCTTTGCCGATATACTGAACGACAAATGAAATGCAATCCTTGTGGTATTATCATGTATGTTGTTTATCGGATTCTTCAAAACTCTTCGGAAAAAAGTTCTTATTTGAATGATCAGTACGGTCGTCGTAGGTTCTGTTCTGATCTGGGCCATTCTGGGCCACACAGTGTGGACAGAAGTGGAAGGCTTTGGTTGGGAGAATCACGCAGTGGAAATGTGATAGTCGTCAGCGATGAAAAACAGCTAGTACCATACTGCTGGGTGCTTATCATACTCATTGTAGTTTTTCTAAAGTTTACATAGATGTTTGAAACTACTGATGACAATGGTAAACCGATTAATTTGTCGGTAATATTATAGCCGATTATAATTACAAAAACAAGTTTATAGATAATTTTCCAGAAATGTTCCTCTAAAATAGGTTTTTAATTTAAACTCTTAGGAAGCATGTTTCATATTGAATTCTTACAATTAACTGTTGAAATTCACAAAACAAACCACCGTCTGCAGAGGAGATAATTCAACATTTTAATAAACTTGACAAAAAAAATCACAATTTGAGAAAAAGGGCAGCTGTTTCCAGCACCTTGAGCAAAAGTGTATAAACTATAGTAAAGTCTGAAGTTTACCAGAGAAAAAATGAAAATGAAATTTATTGGTATAGGAAATTGAAGATAAAATACAGTGCATTTAAATGCATGAAAATTCAACTGGTAATTTCACTGTGAAACTGTACAATTTGAGTCGTAAAGGAAAGGATCTTAACAATCGACATATTGAACGTCTAGCCCGGACATTGAGACTGATTTAAATGAAATTGCTAAATCACCAAAAGAAAACTTTAAAGAGAAGATAAAGCATTTTTCAATGAGAAACACTTAATACAAAACGTAGAGTTAAGAATGGAATACTACGGATGGCAGTCCTATCAGATTATTAGAAGAAAATAAAGAAAATTGAATTTCACATAAAATCAATTAAAAGGAAAAAAAAATTACTGCTTTGAAGAATCTCCAAAAAAATAATATTAATGAAATAAAACGAGAGAAAAGTGCACAACTTATATATTAAAAACTTAATATTGAAGGGGAGCTTTTCACACTTGTATCTAGCAAACCAGATGAGATAGAACATTATGATTACCCAAAGTCAGACTTGTCACTTCTATGATGTATGGATTTAGGATAATTAACAGGGGTCTGGCCTCGTTCCGAGGGCGGATGCCAAAGAAAATTCAGACAAGAGGCCCACGGGCCTTACAGGTCACTTGAGTATTGTGCAACAACTTTCAAGCAATTACATCTGGTTCGTGATTAAATCCTGAGGCCATGGAATTCGCAATTCACAATTTTGAAAGAGGCACCATTGCTTATCATAATTATAGACTTCGCATGCTTACTCTATTTACTTAATACCGGAGGTAGATCAGAGTAATGAAGAGAAAATGCACTTCAACTTTATAACCAGTTGTGCACCTAATCCCAAAGGAACCACTGACCCTAGAGCCAAATATTTCAAAAATTTTCAAATTTTATCATAAAATGGTTGATTAATACCAAAGAGCAGATTTCAAAGCATCAATTTATTTTCAGACTATGTATCCCCCACCTCGACCCAGGGATGGAGGGGGGGGGGATAAGAAATAAACATTTTTCTAGATGCACCTTTCTTCATCATAAATGTATATACTTGGATCATTAGCATAAAACCCAGGAGCAAAGGAAAGATTTTCAAAGGATTCATGTATTTTCACTATATAATCCATAGAGCCCCGTCCTAACACCAGAACCCATGATCCCGGGGCCATAAAATTCACAATTTTCGAAGAGGCACTATTGCTTATCATAACTATATACTAAATTTGTTTATTTAATACCCAGGAGCAGAGATGATTTTCAAAGAATTAATGCATTTTCACTAATTGATCAATAGAGCCCCACTCTAACACCAGAACCCTTGATCTTGGGGCCCTAAAATTCACAATTTTGGAAAAGGCAGCCTTATTCAACATAACTATATACTTACATAGTTTATTTAATACCCAGAAGCAGAGAGGAAAATTTTCAAAGAACTAAGGCATCTTCACTATTTAATCAATAGAGCCCCGCCCTAACACCAGAACCCCTGACCCTGGGGCCATAAAATTCACAATTTTGGTAGAGGCACTCTTGCTCATCATACCTATGCACTTAGTTTATTTAATACCTAGGAGCAGAGAAGAAGGTTTTCAAAGAATTCATGTATTTTCACTATATAATCAATAGAGCCCCACCCTAAAACTAGAATCCGTGACCTTGGGGCCATAAAATTCACAATTTTGGCAGAGGCACTCTTGCTCATCATAACTATATACTTAGTTAGTTTATTTAATACCTAGAAGCAGAGAAGAAAATTTTTAAAGAATTTGTGTATTTTCACTACATAATCGATGAAGCCCCACCCTGACACCTGAACCCCTGACCTTTGGGCTATAAAATTCACAATTTTGGTAGAGGCACTCTTGCTTATCATAACTATGTACTAAGTTAGTTTATTTAATACCTAGGAGCAGAGAAGAAGATTTTCAAAGAAATGATGCATTTTCACTACCTTCTTATTTTGGTCCCACCCCTCAGGCCCCAGGGGGGGGGGGCAGGGATCATGAAATTCACAATTTTTGTTCCCCTTCACCCATAAATGCTTTGTGCCAAATTTGGTTGAAATTGATTGAGTGGTTGCAGAGAAGAAGCTGAAAATGTTCAAATGTTAACAAACGACGGACGACGCACGACGACGGACGAAAACGGATTACAATAGGTCACCTGAGTTTACTCAGGTGACCAAAAAAAGCCGGGGGACAGGAGAAAACCATGGGGAGTGTCGTATAAATATGTCTGTTTCCAGTTTGTGAAATTGCTTTCACCTTGAGTCCTTCAAAGTGCGATTTTTTTTCTAAGAATTGATTAAAAATTAAGGAAAATGATAAAAACAAAATGAATTCTGAGACAATATTCTTAAAGAACGATTATAAAAGTTTCTCTAAACTTTTGAGGCTAAATTTGATCCAAATTCCATCGTCTAGTATCTCGGCTTTGCATTGATCAGATATACTAAAGATTCTCAGAAAATCATATCTAAATTTGTGCACAAATGTGATGCATATATTTAATATAGTTTAAAAGTTTTTAGACTAATTTAAGAATCTAAAAGCCTGTGGTTCTTAAGTGTTTCTATGATTCATGGGTATCTGGTAGATAAATTAATTTTCAGTTGCATCTTTAGATACTACTTACATTTTTTTTCTCTCCTTTTACCGAACATGTTTTCGCTACAGACCCCAGTTGGATTTAACTGCTATATTCATGTAGGAAGCGAAACAACCCTTTCTGCAAAATTGAACATTTCAAACCGAAAGTTAGTTTTGTGACGATAGAAACTTTAATTAGGGACACGACTGTTATGAAAACAGAGAGGTAATAGTCTTTGTTTTATTTATAACGAGTATAATAAAAATAAACATACCGGTATCAGGGTAGCATCTGAAAATATTTATTTCTCAAAATCATACCTGGTATCTAACCGATGCGTAGCCAATCTCACGAAATTTTAACTGATACCTTAAAAAAATATTTTCAATACGAAAGTTAATTTTGTAATTAACAAACTATGCAACACTACATACTGATATGAAACAGGTAGTTAATTGTTTGCTTTATATACTACAAATAAATTAAGAATTTATATATTTAGGGTATCATTTGAAAAATGTTATCTCTCTAAATCTGTTACTGACTGGATATCGCGGGCTAACAAAACATACACAGGCATGTAAGGAGTATACTGACTAGTAATGGATAGTATGTATTGATCATATTTATTCAAATTTAGTTTAATGATATGCAAGCGTGGATTAAAAAAATACAAAAACAAAAAATTGCCTTCGTTTAAGGATTAACCTTGTCTTTAAATGGATTTTAAAGCGAGAGTTACACATATTGAAATTTAAACCTAGAACTTATTGAGTATTTCGTATGGTTTTAGATTGAATTGGTAGGACCTTCATAACACTGACAAGGATGGCTTCTAGTACAACTAAATCACAAGACGTTATTCTGTGTCACCTCTGTGACAGGAGACCCGCCATTCTTCACTGTAATCCCTGCCAGGTCAACTTATGTGAAGAATGCGTCGGACGACACTACATGACGTCATCATCATCTAATCACGAGATTGTCAAATATCGAGAGAGAAAATTTCATCTTTCATTTCCAAACTGCAAAGTCCATGGTGATGAAAAGTGTACCGTTAAATGCCAGAACTGTAATGTAGATGTTTGCCTTCAATGTCTCAGCGGAGCCCATAATGGTCATAGAATTATTGATATCAGGGGCATTGTTGATGAAAAGAAAGAGCTTATGAAAAAAGATATGGCTCGTCTAAAAGATGATATGATTCCTAAATTTGAACAAGCAGATACAGAGATAGAATCCAAATTAGCGGCTTTAAATGCTAAATGTGACGAATTAGAACAATCAGTCACAGAGCATGGGCAAAAATGGCAGCGATTCATTGACGAAATAGTTGCAAAAAACAAGAAAGAAATTGCAGAGATGAGAGGAAATGGCATCAGGAAATTAAAAAAATACCAGAAGGAAATAAAAAATGCACTTGAAAGCCTAATTGAAATTGCTCTACAGAACGTAAAGATTTTACATTCCATGGACGTTCGTCACAACACAAACTATGAAAGAAATATTCAGAAGTATCTTATGATCCCCTTACAAATAGATCTTGAACTACCGGCATTCATTTTCAAAGACATAGATAAAAGTAGATTTTATCAAGATTTTGGAAAATTAATAGAACCCAATATACAAACAGAAACGATATACAGATCAGATGTATCCATTGTTCTTCTAGAAAAAGCCGTAGAAATCGCATCCTTCCACACTGGAGTAACACCGTTGATGAGGATAGCATGTCGAAATACAGAGGAGGTGTGGGTAACGGGAAAGAATAAAACCATTACTCGTATCAACATACAGGGTTCTGTACAGGAGACTGTTACCTTTCAGAATAATCCTTGTGATATTTCAGTTTCAAACGAAGGATATTTGCTATACATTGATAGAGTAAATCGAGTAATTAATGATGTCCACCAGACAACAGCAAAGTTCACAACAGCACAAGGATGGTATCCATTAGGACTGTGTTGTACACAATCAAGAGACTTACTGGTCAGTATGTGTACACATAATTATGAACATTATAAAATTGTCAGTTATGAAGGTCAAACAATAAAGCAGGAGATAGAGAAGGACAACAAAGGTAAACCGCTATATAAAAGAGGTGAAATGATGCTCTTTGTGACGGAAAACAACAACGGGGACATCTGTGCCTCTGATTGCAATGGTAAAAAAGTCGTTGTAGTGAATAAGGCAGGAAAACTTCGATTCCAATATAAAGGACAAAAGAAGATGAAGAAACAGTTTGATCCCGCCAGTATTGTCACAGATTTCGAGGCTCGTATAATAGAAAAAGTTTACGGTAATTCCTGTACCCACATCATTGATCAGGATGGTCAATTTCTCCGTATTCTGGCTTTTTGTGGAGCACTGAGTCTGGACACACTGGGACGACTGTGGGTGGGGGATAATGATGGTGGAAGTGTTAAGGTCATCAAATATACAAATTAAATGTTTTGATTTCTATAATACGATTCGCGAGAAAATACTTATAAAAATATCTATATACCGGGTAATAAGTTTAACGACTACAAATAATTTAAATGTTACAGGTGTTATTTTTTCAATTGTCATAATATAGGAAAAAAGTGTTTAATTGAACCTTAAATTAATGTGAAATTGTGCGAAATTCGGCTTATCTCATCAAAATACTACAGCTGCAACAACGGACTAAGATATGAATATGTTGGGAATAAGTCAATGGCTTAAATAATTCTCAAAGCATGTGAATTGACGTTATTTAATACTGTTTAATTTATAATTATTTTTTATGACATGATCGTAATATGTAAAAAGATAATTTTTGTGATCACAATCTGAATTCCTATATAACCATAATTTGTCTAATAATATAATTCTGAAGATTATAATGCACTATTAAATTAGAATAAAGTTTTATAACTTAATTCATATTCAGAAAAATCCATCTCTACATGTATACTGTAATGATGGTAAAAATAAAAACTAAAGAAGTTTATTTTATTAATGACATTCTATTTTTCTTTATCCATGAATTAAGGTCGTCTCATTCGTGATGTGAATTTTTAGCTCACCTAAGCCGAAGGCTCAAGTGAGCTTTTCTGATCAAATTTTGTCCGTTGTCTGTCGTTGTTGTCGTCGTCGTCGTTGTTGTCGTTGTAAACTTTTCACATTTTCATCTTCTTCTCAAGAACCACTGGGCCAATTTCAACCAAACTTGTTACAAAGTATCCTCTGGGTAAAGGGAATTCAACTTTGTACAAATGAAGGACCACGCCCTTTTCCACGGCGAGATAATTATGAATAAGTGAAAAATTAACGGCGCTTTTTAAAAACCTTCTCAAGAATCACTGGGCCAGGAAAGATGAAACTCATGTGGAATCATTCTCAGATACTGTAGATTCAAATTTGTTCAAATCATGACCCCCGGGGGTAGGGTGGGGCCAAAATGGCCGATCAAAGATTAACATAAGAGTATAAAGAAAAAAATCTTTAAAACTCTTCTTCTCAAGAACCACTGTGCCAGGAAAGATGAAACTTATAGGGAACCATCCTCAGGTAGTGTAGATTCAAGTTTGTTTAAATCATGACCCCGGGGGTAGGGCGGGGCCACAATTTGCCGATCAAATTTTTACATAAAAATATATAGGAAAATTCTTTTAAAATCTTCTCACGAAGCAATGTGCCAGGAAAGATGAAACTCATGTATCTAGAATCAGTAGTATAGCTTCAAGTTTATTCAAATCATGACCCCCGAGGGTAGAGTGGTGCCAAAATGGCCAATCAAAGTTTTACATAGGAATATATTGGGAAACCTTTTAAAATCTTCTTTTTAAGTACTTCAAAGCCATGATTAGTAATATTTATATGGAATCATCCTCAGGTTATGTAGATTCTAGTTCGCTCAAATCATGATCCCCTGGGGGTTAAAATTCAAGCCTCCCCCCAACCTCAGTAAACTTTTAGTTCTGATCTGATATGTGCTTTTTCCTAGCAGATTGATATGTGCTTTTTCCTAGCAGATGTGTTCAGATGAGCGCTGTGGCCCCTGGGCCTCTTGTTAAAAATCCTATAGATTTCATATCATGATTAAAATATTTTGTCACACTGGCAGTGATGCATTATCTCTGTGGCTTGCTTGATATCGCTGATTTACTAGCAAAACTTGAATAAACGTGAGTGTTAACGTTTTATCCTCTAAATTATAAAAAAAAAATCAGGAAAAGGAGTTTGGTATTCTTGAAGAATAAAGAATATACTCAGTGAGTATAATTTTACTACAGTTGATGCATAAGTGTCTTCTTTGAACTAAAATGAGAAGGGGATTTAGGGCAATTTTTGAGTTTCCATGTAATCGGATGCCAATCAGTTAAATGATTAGTTAGAATTAAAACATAATAATGTGTTTCTGTTTTAAAAGTTGATAATGATAATATCTTACACTTTTCACGCAGAACTTATTTTCATATTTTTTTAAGAACAGGACAATAAATTTTGTAGTGTCTCTTTACTGAATTTTTCATAATTCAAGAATTAGTGTACATTTTTATATATTTACTATCGTATACAATGAAAGAAAGAAAAAAATATATTGATAGGAAGAAATGAACTATTACATTTAATTGATTTCATTGATGAAAATTATATTAAACGAGATTTTATAAAATAATATCAATTAGTGAAAAACACTACCCACCATGACAGGGGCAGGTAACCCAAAACCAAAGCATTAATTAAAAATTAATGAAAATGATTTTGTATTCCGAGACAATATTCTTATAAAAGAAGGATTATATAAGCTTCTTTAAACTTTTGAAGCTAAACTTGATCCAAATTGCATCGTCTAATATTTCGGCTTTGCTTTGATCAGATATACTAAAGATTTTCTGAAAATCAAATCTAAATTTATGTGCACAAATGTGATGCATGTATTTAATATGGTTTCAAATATCCTTCATACATGTTACTTTTTTAAGTTAGATTAATTTAATGTTAGGTGTGGTATTTGGGGGGTACCAATTTTTATTATGAGCAAAGAGCGATAACTCTAATATTGTTTCAGTAACTTTTCGCTGAACTCTTCTTTGCCAGAAGTTAGAATCTGGTGATCCGTCCTACAGGACACAGACTACCAATTATTTTGCTATACATTCCTTTATAACATAAAATTTTTTTTAAAAAATTACACCGGCTCAACTTACCTGAAACTTAACACAGAGTAAGACCATTTCAAGTCCAAAAATTTACCAAGTTCTCAGGAACATTCATAGTCTGCAAGTCCTTTTATGGCATCGCAAATAACCCCTACCCTGCTTTTTTCACTTTCTCTTCGAGGAAAGGGTAAATATGGGCCTCTTTTCACCCTTCCTACTACGCACTTAAAAGCCAAATTTTCCATTATTATCATTTTTATAATTTTTTTCAGACCCTCTCCTTTCCATTTATGCCCAAAAATAACCGCATTCTACTCCATAAACACCCCAAAGAATTTTTAAGAAAAAACCTCTATTTTTAAATTGGAACTACTTGAGTGGTCAATGAAATAGGGGTAAAATTAGTAGTCTGTAACCTAATAAGGGCACAAACCTTGTCTGATTTTGCTGAAATTTGACATGCTGGTGTCTTTGGTTTATACAAAGTTGCCGATGAAGTTTCATTGAATTTTATGATCCCTTAACAGAGTTATGATCCTTTAAATAATGTGCTGGAACACCTTAAAGCAGAGGGTAAAAAAAGCATTAGACACACAGATCTCAGATTTGAAATGATCACAACTCACATATATTACAGTTATTTTCTTTTCTTATATTTTTGTAAACTAGATAAATATGTCCTACACAAATTTCAAGAAAAAAACTTAACCTATTACTTTAGTAAATATTTTTAATTTTTCTTTTTCAAAAAATACCTTCAAAAAGCATAAAATTCTTGAAAATATTAAAAACAAAAATATTTAGCACATTTAAATTTTAGTAAAACTAATATTAAAAAATTCTACAATGTTTAGGCTATAAAAAATCAGTATAAAAGCTAAGGAAAAGAGATTAATACCTTTGTTATAAGCAGATTATCCAACCTGGTCGATTCAGCCTCTGTCAGGAAGTGGTACTTACAACTCTAATTGGATTATCCCTGGCCATATTTAGACTTCTTTGATGGATATTTCTTGTAACAATATGCATGATTAGACAACAAATACCATAAATTCTATGAAAATTTGGATTTTATAATTCTGAATTTACAAAAAAATGAATTTAAATGTACATTTTACCTACATACATTCTTCAGGCTGCTGTAAAAAAGGGGAGACAACTCTGCACTGTAAAGGTACCAAAGAACAAAACAATTAAAATGCATTTATACATACATTCAATTGTTCAACACAGAAAAAACATACCATGCCTGTGTCACATATAGTTAGTCCTGGAGTTGCTTGGAAGTTAACTATTAAGAACAGGAAGGCGGGGGGGGGGGGTTGAGAAGGTTCTATTAAACTGGAGTATACATAAATTCTGCCTGTCATGTGGAGCACTATTTCTGCACAAAGTTTATCCAAATTCTCTAAAACACCTGTTTTTTTTCACAAAAATGATGATTTTGTCTGATATGCGACCACCAACAATGATGTCCAAGATTCCACAAGAGTAGAAAAAGACAGTAGGACCAAACATCCATATGAAATGTTGAGCACCTTACTGACCTCCCCTGTCTTGGACAATCACAGATCAGTGCCAGCAGTCAGACAGCAGATCGATGTTCATTTCCAAAAGCTGAAGGAAAAAAAGAAAGTTTTAGAGAGTATACATTGATAAGCAACAGATGATGATGAACAGATGCAAACAGTATACATGTATAAAAAAGAAAACAAACAAAAATAATACAAACTATGAGTCAGTTGATTGTATACCTTTAACTTGGCTGCTTTTGACTGCAATATTGATGACAGCTATATCCTGTTTTCTGAATGCTCACTTTCTCTGCTTTTGGTACAAAAATTGTTCACTTCTGACTTGTAACTGGTCTGAATTTTTTTTAGTCACCCATCCAGGCTACAACTGCATGCAACCCCACAATCCGCTAAATATTAGCCACTAAAAAATGAATTTAAAAGCATTTAACTTCAGTTCACATTCATAATTAATAAGTTATTGTGTCAAATTAATAAGTAATTGGGACAACTATAATTACAGACACAAAGTAGCTTAAGTTTTGAGAAATTAGGCATTTCTTACCCACTAACAATAGTATAATCTGAACAATCAAATGTTAAAAACATACCTTGGTTTTTGAACTCCATTTGACATTTAAGATCACAGGATAGGTGGGGAATGGGTTTTATGTTACCTACAACATTATATAAAGAATTAAAATTCATATTGCATAAATTCTTGACACACATCAATTGCACATATTATGTCATACCCTTTGACAACATGAGCAGGTGCCCCCTCCCCCTTTTCAATTATTTAAAT